TTATAAGTGGAAAGATTTAGAGAATTTAATCAAGTTTAAAAGTACTGGAATGGTTAGGAGAACATGTGATTTGTTATTTAAGATTAATTTATTAGATTTACTGGAGTTGTTATGGTTGGCTGGTAGGTCATGCATTGAAAAGCTTAAAAAGAAAACTGAATGCATTAAATATATAAATGTATTTCAAATACTTCAGGGGATTTTATTAACTAAGTTGTAAAGGGACCTGCTTGAGAGTTGAATGTGCTCAACTTAAATTGATCAAACATTATTCAAAGTCTCCTTGAAGGCAATTGTTAAAATTTACTAGATTCACGAATCAAATAATAAAGTATGTAAGGTGAATTTAAAGGTTTGAGAAAAGCTGGATTTCTATAAGACTGTACCTTCAATAAAATGAATTAAATTAAAACCTTGAATAATAACATAGCCTTTTTTCTCTGCACAAAAGCGCCCACAGACATTAAAAATTCACAATTGACATGGAGATCCCATCTAAGAATTATGTTTCTGAAAAAGAAACCTATATAAATGAAACATAAGCAACAACCAGACAGGATTGAAAATTACTTTCTAAAATTGGAAAAAAACTGACTTGAAGATGCAAACTAAACATGTTTACTATGTTCCAGGTAAAATTAATAATTAAGATTACATGCTAGAAAAAACCTGAAAAATGTAAGCATAAAGAAAAAATTACATTTGATTCCAGGTGGGAAAAAGATGTGACCCACAAGGGGAAAAAATGAGGCTGGCCTGAGGCTCCTCTTCGTAGTAAAAGACAACAGATCAAACAGTTACAGAGTTTAAAGGGAAAAGGGCTACTATTTAAATGTTTTCTTATTTATTTTTGGTTGAAAATATTTTTTATTTAAATAACACTGCATTATAACATTATATAAGTGTCAAGTGTGATTAAAAATCAACATATGAATAATCTACATTAAGTATACCTCTAAGAATCAAATTCTATCCTTCACCATCCAGTTGAAGCAAAGATAAAGACAAACCAAACAGAAACTTTTTAAGGTAAGAAGCTTAAAAATACACTTGAAAATACATTCCCATGAGCAGAGATGAATCAAAATAAGAGCCTAGAAATGAATTATGTATAAGAAGATAATGGGAAGAGTAACATGAATTAAAGAGTTAAACTGAAAAATAGCAAATATATTTTTCAGGTCAAATGGCATTAAACACAGCAATGTAATTCCTTTCCTTCCCACTTTGCCAATGAATATAGGAGAACTCTTTTATCACCAAGTCCTGGAAGGTAAGCACAGTATTCATAGGGCATGGAAGATAAAGCCAGATTGAGAAACAGTGTCATAGTCACATGCTGCCCTGCTAAGAAAAAGCAGCAAACGCAGTTCTTTGCAGCAGCTGGACTGAGGGCCTCCACTCCGTGTTACATAAAATGTTCCTCTGAAACATGACCACTTGCTTCTGCTAAGTCAGGCTATACTATTAGTCTCAGGAGAGTGAGCTAAAAAGGCAGAAGTCATAATCCTCTCTGACCCACTCATGGAAGTGACAGTACCATCTACTGTTTACAAGCATATTGCTAGGCCAGCCATTCAGGGGAGAGAATGACACAAGAACATGAATACCAGAAAACAGAGAACTTGGGAGATCACCTTTGAATCCACTTGGCTATCTGGATTGGTAAGGAAATAAAACCCTAAGACATACTGAATGCAACATCATTAAACACAATGGCAGAAAATATTTTTAAGGAAAGACCTGCTAAACATGAAGTTAGATAGGAGGTCTAGTCAGCTCTCTCTCTTTCTGAAGTACCATGAGTAATTCTGATGTCCAATTAGGTTTTAAAACCATTAAAATGAGGCCTCCCTGGTGGCACAGGCAGTTGAGCACCGCACTGTGAAGCTGTCCACAACCTCTGCAGCGCCGGTTTGATCCCGGCAGGTCGGCAAGGGTCCCACGTGGCAAGCAGACCTCTCCTGTCGCACCCACTGCTCCCCTCAGCAGTGTATTAGTGTATTTCACCCGTCCGCCTGTTCTGTTCCCTGCTCTGTCTCTGGTGAGTCCTCTCACCCTCCCACCCTTCTGGCTTCTACCCTGGTTCTTGTATTAAAATAAATAAATCTTTAAAAAAAAAAAGAAAACCACTAAAATGTATTCATTAAAGAAAGACTAAACATAGATATACCTAAGCTTCAATGGTGGTTATCTCTAGGAGGTAGAATTTCCTGTGATCTTAATTCTCTCCTTTTCTGCTTGGCTTTACTTTCTCCCCTGAACTTATTTCTTGTATAAAAAGGAAATCAAGTTGTTCTTTTTAAGAAGAATTCTTTCACAAATATGGTTTATCTATGGAACACAGTAAAAGAAATTGTATTAATACAATGCATCACATTAATAAAATAAAAAGCAAATGGAAAACTCAAAACATATCCATTTCCATGTATGAAAATACTTTCATTTTAGGGATAACACTCAAGACATGGCCTGACAAAGTAGGATCTATTATATGCTACAGGCTTGCCTATATTTTGTACACTCTTCTTAGATGCAATTTGGCAATAGGTATCAAGACCCAAATTATTTATACTATTGGATTTCATTCCATTGCCAGGAACCTACTCTAAAGAAAAATATCAGCAATCTGGACATAGATTTATAAACAATGAGTTCACAGTTATACTACTGATGACAGTGAAAAATTGGGAACAATTAGGTGTCAGATAATTGGAAGTGGTTAAACACAAGTATTTCAAATACATGCCATCCAAATGTCCTGTGACCTCATCCAAATGTATATAAATGTGCCATTTTCACTATAATATAATGTGCAGTTGCTATAACACTATATGCTGTGATAGCATATGCTATATGCTATATGTAACACTATTGTTACATCAATATATGTTATCACATGTTTACCATGCTACTACTCCATAAGGGCCCCCTGGCATGGTTATCAGCAAGTCTAGACTTTTCCAGGAATCTCTCTTGAATTACCCTCTTCTTGATTCTGGGGTGGATAAAAAGAAGACAGCTGTGAATTTGTGCATAACCACTCAGTCTTTCACTCCTCATTCCTAGTCTCCACCTTCAGCTCATTCAGTCATCATCTACTCAGTCTTTTCTCTAGCATCTACTTCTGTCATTCATCACGAACCAAGAAGACAATTATTTCCAATTCCTATAAAAAGCTGCTTTAAGGTCATTCCCACACAGAGTCCATGGTCCCCCAGAGACACAATTCTTCCCTATTCACAAGAATACAAAGGTGCTGGAGAAGTTCAGTTTAGGCCAAGCTCTCTCTGACATCCCTACCAGCACACCCTATTAGCTTTCAGATGTCTTCCCTCGGTGTGATTTCACTCATCCCTCAAATATCTATCTCCAATGTGGTTTCTTCAAAAAAGCCAGCCAATTCCATATTGTTATTTGTGGAGTCATTGCTGGAAGTCATTTTTCTTTCCTCCCAGAGGCAACTCAAGATTGTGGCTGGGAATCTTTTGCATGGTCTCCAACTGTCTGTGACATTAAAGAAGTTCCCTCAAACGTCTGTCACTGATGGAGGCTAGTCCCACAGCACATAGAGACCCTATGGATAATAACCCCTTTCTCCCAAGCCAACCACATCTTTCCAATGCCTTTTGAATCATATTTTAAAAACTGAATATCTCTATTTTATGTGAAATATACCATTTGTACTCATTTATGTATATCTCTAAGAAATTTGAAAAAAATATCTTCTCTGGTATACATGACAACCCAAACTCTATTATATACTCCATTCAGAACAAATATTCACAAGAAAAAATATTCATCCATTTGACAAATATTATTTTTACTTGTACATATTGCAAAGACTATCAAAATGAGTTAAAAAAAAATGGTTCCTGTTCTCAGGTACAGGAGAAAGAATTGAGAAAAAAAGTTGTAATACAATAGAATATGAATTAAATGTGGAATGATTGTTACAAGTAGTGAAATACGATAGTACACTGAAGGAAAAAATTTTTTTTCCCAAAAATGATCAAAAAAATGTTCATGGAGGATCCCAGCATTAAAATAAGAGGAAACATTACAAAAATACTCTAAGGAGAGGCTGGGTTTTAATTTGTTGCTTTTTTAAAATACAACCTAAATACTTACACACTATAGTTCACATAAATTTAGTTCTGGGTTTTACTACCAGTCTTTTGATTGCAAGTCTCAGAAATCCAACTTGAACTTTTTGCTGAGGGGGGAAAGGAAATTTATTGATGTTTTGGAAGACTACTAGAGGCATCTCAAATGATCACAGGGTAGCTTAAGGGCAGAGCAGTATTATGATTGGTTCCATTTCTACCAATGTACTATTACTGGACCAATCAAAAGAAGCTGGGCATACAAATATATTTTATTAAAATGGCAGCTCCTAAGAGCCACAAGATTGACATAAAGAAAATACAGTTTTCAAAAAGAAAGTAAAAACCTTACAGTCCTACTAGCTAAATTGTATAAATTCTTAGTTCTTTATCTTACAAATAATTCTTCAAGAAGTAGGGAGAAAAGAGCACAAGGGACTGTGGTGATGGATCACAGTGATGTGGTGGGAGAACTACAGGGACTACACCTGAGGGGAAAATCAAATACTGTACAAAAATGCACAACAATGTAAGAACATAAATAAATTTCATTACAAAAATAAAAAAAAAAAAGAAGTATTCACTATCACATAAAGATAGCTGGGCAGTCATCTCCCTGTTTCTATTTCGGGTTTACATACACTACAAAAATCAACAGAACAACATGAATGGTAAGGGTCGGGAGAGGAAGCTTCTCTTGGCATTTCTAATATTGAAAGTAAAGAGAAATTCCAGGTTCAGATTTCTCAGGGATCACCGAATATACAGGTTCGATGTAACTGATTTAATGCAGCAACATTTAAATAATCAGATACTCACATCTTATTACATTTCTTACATCTCCTTTAATCTCTTTAGTTCTATAATCAGGTCATGAAAAATGCAAGTTTCACACTGGTCTCTTCCCTGGATTTCTGAACAAATTAAACAAAATTGTAGTTAATATTTGTTTCGCCTGGTTAAATGTAAAGACAGCTACCCTAGCCCCTAGCATTTCATGGTTCCCAGGCTACAGCCTCACCGAGATTGCTCAGTGAGAAAGACTGATTATTCTGGAGTATTTGGACCCCCCCAGAAAAGACTGTCTACTGATACTCAGTTTTATATAGTAAGACGGACATTAAAAAGCCTACCTATTAAGGAACAGCAGGCTTTGCTCTGATGAATAGCAGCATGTTGCACAGGAATATTCATCACCACGAGGGCACTCCCTTGAGTTTTCCAGATAATTAAAGGACTGAAGGCTCAACACACAGCACCACATACAATTCTCAGATTGGTTCCTCAGTCTTCCAAATAAGAATTACCAGATATAGCAAAAAAAGTACAGGATCAGCTAAAGTTGAATTTTAGATCACAAGTCATTGTTTTTTGGTAGACATATGTCCCAAGCAATACTGGAGATCTATTTCTACTAAAAAACATTAATCATTATCTGAAATTCTATTTCAGGCTGGGTATTCTGTATTTTATATGGCAACCCTCTTCTCTGAGATCTTTCTGGCATTGTCTTTAGTCCTCTTTCCTGAAAGGGTTCAGCCTAAAGAGTTTCACCACACTTTATATCTAATGCCTGTAAGCATTTAAACTTTGACCATCTTGGGTTACCCAAACTCTGAGTTAAAAAAAAAAGGATGATAGAAAAGAGAAAAGGCAAAAAATACAATAATTTTCTCTTTCAAATAACTCTCTCCCTGCCCCTGTCCCACTTTGCCTCATGCCATCCCTCCCTCCAATAAAGGAACTAAAACTATTGTTGATGGTACCTTGGATTACGACTATTACAGATGCAGCTTACAGCACAGGGAAACTGCCTATAGAAGCATGCTACGGTGACTTCCTAAAATACCTGCAGGGGCACACTGGCCACACCACAGGTATCCTAGCAGGCACCATGCCAGGGCAGTTCTCTGTCCATATATCGTAACCAGGTGCACATCCTTACAGTAGGCTTGTCAGAGGGAAGGGACAAGCCATCTATCACCTCTTACCATCTAGAATTTATATTTAAACCTACAGTTCCAATGTCAGGTCTGGGAGGTCCTTGTAGTCAACACAAATCATAAAATACTCGAAGAATGAACACAAAAATCATAACTCTTCCTTCGACTCAACGCTTCTAGTGTCACTTCTATTTGAGAATGTGTACTGGCTTTTATTGAAGGCAGGTATATACGTGCAGGGAGGAAAGTTACATTTTGCCAAGGGAAAAAAAAAAACATAATTCTAAAACACAAGCACACAAGCATTCACCAATGACCTTAGCAAATAGAGTTTAAAAACAAAGCCTCTGGTCACATTTGTTAGGTGGTCACAAATCCAGTGTCTGAGGCCATACATGACTCTGAGGTCTGATTAGCACAAGGAGTAAAGTGGGCATTTATTTTACTCTCCCTGTATTTTACACCTCCCCTTGTTTCAGTGCACTCTAATAATTAATGAGGGGACTTGCTTCTTTATGGGAAAACATCCACTAATAAAAACAGAAGGGGTGGTAGAAACAGAAAATCACTTTTTGCAAGCCCTTCAATGAAATAATGGATCTAAACAACATCATCGAGGAACATTGACTTTATAATGGAGGGATGAAGCTGCCACATCTGCACCCACTCACCAATCTCAATATCACTTCAAGTGGGACAAGCAGACCTTCGAGCTTTATGACATGAAGCAACAAGTAGCACAAACAGCACGCGAACGAGTGCTTGCTTAAAATGGAGCTTGAATAGAATTAAATTTCTAGATCATTATGTCATCCTCTCTATTTTTGAGTATTTTTGTACTTTTCATTAAAAAAAAAGTTTTAAAAAATAGGTATTCAGAATGTTTGTAGAATCTTTGCTTTGACCTTTGTTTTAAACCTTCTAAGATGCAATATTAGTTCCCTTTCCAACCTAAGAACATTCACCATCCTGAGCACTGATGAGTCTTCTTTTGATGACTGAGGTCATCATTTCAGGCTTATTATAGTAAACTTGAAGTAGGAGTTTCCATAGCTACTGATTTAAATCATGTAAAGGAGACGGAATTGAATCTATACTAATCCCAGAATACTTATTCATTGATCATAAAAGTTTCCAAGATCTTTTCAGCACTAAGTATTACCACCATCAATTTTCTTGATATTTGATTTTTTTGATGAAATTTTAAAATTATTCAAAACCACCCTGAACAGAGATGGAAACTGGGACTGTTCAGACACTCTGGTTAATGGGGATCTGGTGGTGGAGGTTTACCCTACACAGAAGAATTTTAGGCAGAGGGAACTGATATTGCCAACACCCCTAAGGGTACGGCTCACCCACCCCTCCCACTCTGCATGCCAGACTCTTGGTTGAAATAGGACGCACTGTGTGGATGAAATAAAGCCAAGCGAGGTTAACATGAGACTCTATGAAGACAAGGATGCTGAAAAGGACTGAACTTTATTCATACACAAATATAAAGGAAAGAGAGTGGTATTCTAAAAGAAATAACTTGTTCTTGTAGAAAAAAAAATACTGAAACCCCTTATACTTGGAGGGTAGGGGACTGTCCTTTTGATGTAATCAGAACTGCTGCTCTCCCTCTGTGCTCCATCCTGTATTTATTCCACCCTGGTCCACAGACGAGTTGCTGCATTTCTCACCAGCATCCTTTTGTTGAGTGTCTCTTAATGCACATCAGAGTTGACTCTGTGCATCCTCATAATCAGCCAGATGGCCAAGGATACCTTGCTTCCTGCCAATATCCCCTGCAACATGCTGACTGCCTACCTTCTGATTCAAGCCCTAGATCTTTGTTCGCCTCAGCTCATGACATGTAGTGACTTCCTGCCTGTCTACTCTCTGAGTTCTGGGTGGGTTATTCTATATATATTGCCTGTCTGGGGCAAATGAAAGTGAAAGGTTTGTTTGTGTGTGGTTTGGGTTCTGCTTATTTTTTATTTGTGGGAAGGACAGCTTTCTGGTGGGAGTCCTTGCTGAAAACTTGATATATTTCTTTCTGAGTTGGGCGCATTAATCTCCCTCTGGCTGACCATCCAGGAGGTATCTATGCCTTATCAAACGATGCCTAACACTAAATCGGCTCCAGTAGCAAGCTTCCTGAGGTTGTCTTTGCTTTTTCAAATGATGCCAGCAAATTACTGACACTTTGTGTATGGGAGGAAATAGAAATCAAGGTGCTAAGAAAGCAAAGGAAATTCTGTGAAACCCAGAGTTGAATGTAACAGACAAGAATCCAGGACACTGTGATCCTTGTCCTTTTCTGATAACAGTGAAATGAAGTTCTCTTGACTCTTTCTTCCTCAATTACTCCCTTTCTCCCACGACCCATCCCCCTTTTCTAGGCACAATAAAACTTGAAGATTAAGACCACCAAGCACTTGTTACCCAAGAGATACAATAGGTAAAAGGCTTAAGTTAAAAGGCCTGTGAAAAAATACCTTCCACTAAAAAGGACAGGTAAATTTGGAAGGAAGAGATGGATGAGCTAATGGATTCCTACAGAGCAATGAGGGCAAAGAACAAGAATTCAGGAGGAAAACCAAAGACTTCATGAGAAAGAAAATGATTACATTGCACAAAGAGGATGACCAGAATCTTTATAAAAATGAACAGAACCAAAGAACAAAAAAATGGGTCCAAGACCAGGGACTATAAATAGCTGACGAAATTGTACTGAGAGGGAAGAGGTAGGAATGGGGAGGCTGGATGAGTGAATGGGATAGCAACCTAACACAGACCTTGAAAAATTCACTTCCCCAGATAATTCATGCAGCCATGTCTCAGGCCAAAGGAAGAAAGAACATTCAGAAGAAACTGGACGGACCATTCTCTTCCAGGTGACAAAAGGTAGGTGAAAGATAGAAACTACGACACTAAGGATTGAAGGGTAGAAGTAAGGTGAAGCAAACAGTGTTCATAGTTGATGGGGACAGAACTTAATGCCAAGGCTGTGGCCTGAAGAGGAAGCAGGTCTCTGCCATTACAAGTGCAGCAGGAGTGGGATATAATGTTCTGAAATGAGTGGGGTGAACTGAGTTAAGGCAGCTTAATCTGTGGGAAGCCCCCTGGTTTTCCACTCCAGGAATCTTCCATTCTGTTTCCAAACTTACAGGGCATGCTGAGCTCTGATGGGTGAAGTAGGGCATAGGGAGATACCACTGTGGTGGAGAGGAACAGAGTAGGGATAACGTGACTTGGGGGGAATCAATTTTAAGGGAAAAAATTCTCTTCCCTGCCTCCCTAAAGAGAAAGAATCTAAGGCTAGCCAAAGCTACCATCTGTTTAAACCAAAACCTGTGGCCAAGTTTCCTTGAAACAACAGTTACTGATCACCCACTACATTCAACACACCAGCAGTCAAGTAGGAATCGAGAGAAAATAATCCAGAGAGTGGAAAAATGGAAGGAAGGGAATAAGAGAAGAGTTAATTTCCAAAATGGGACATTAGTAACCTTAGCTTATAAACAATATTGGACTCTGACTATCATCTGATCTAAATACAGATTCTATCCAACCATGCTTTTAGCCAAGTATCCAACAAACATGCCAACACCTACTATATGCCCAGATTTGTACCAGATGGTAGGGATAGAATGTCAGGCACGATGCTTGATATGAACAACTCTGCCCAGTAGAGAACAAGGAAAAAAATTACCAACATTACAGTATAACATAAGCACAAACTAGATAGGTTTTCAAGGCACTATGGCAGCCCAGGGATGATAACACTTTACCTCCAGATGGTAAAAGAGGAGTGAGGCACTCCAATCAGAGGAACAGCATGTGCAAAGATGACGACAACAGTACACATTCGCAGAGGAGCAAGCAATTCCCTATAGCTGGAGCCCTGGAAGCATGAGAAAAATGAGCAGATTAGACAGAAGGGGGGTTTCTTAACCTCAGCACTACCGACACTTTAAGCCTGTATAATTCCTTTTTGTGGAGGCCTCCCCGTGCACTATAGGCTTTTTAGTAGCATCCTTGGTCTCCACCCACTGGAAACCAATAGTACAGAAACATGAACGCATGTATATGTGCGCGCGCACACACACACACACACACAATGAAAATCAAAAATGCCCATAAATACTGGCAAATATCTCCTAGAAGGTAAAAATCAATCCTAGTTCAGAATCACTATATAAGAGAAGTAGAAATGGGTCCAGTTGTAAAGGACTTGGCATGGAATTTGCATACCCTCTTCTAGGCACTGGAAATAATGGAAAGAATTGACATGACCAAATATATTCTTGAGATCCATCACTTTGGTATGGACGATCTGCAGAGACACAAAGCTGGTGTGAGGAGGAGACTACTGCAATAGTCCAGGCAGGGGCTGGGGATGCAAACTTGCACTGGGACAATGGCACTGCAGCAGAGAAAGGAGGCCTGAAGGTAGGAGAGAGGTGGTAAAATGATGTCATGTCCTCCTCACTGCCCTCTTGTTCAAAATAATAACCAAAGATCAAACAAAGTAAATCTTAAAATGATTATAACTGGTATATAGATTTACAGTGTAGTGATAGAAAAATGAATACTTCATGAAGCTTTCCTGAGAAAACATTCCTGCTTTTTCAAACATCATTTCACATTAAAATTAATACATTCATTTATTTAACAACAACACTATTAACTTCTGGGTTACCAGAAAATAGGAGAAACTATGTGTAAACATGTGTAGGATTATGTGTATGAAACAAAACCATGAGACTTGCTGGCTTGGTGGCCTGTGAAATCTGGAGACCTCAATCTGCTCTCCTTCCTGCTACTTCGGAACATGCCGAATGCCAAGGATGAGAAAAAAAAAATCCTCAGGTCAACAACACTGTCTTTTTCAGAGAGATGCTCTCTCTGTACACATCCAAGCACATTCTGTTCATGAACTTATATATTCCACCATTTGTCCAATGATCTCAAAGTCTCGAGGCATTTCAGAAGCCAATTTATTGTGTCTCCTCTAAGAGCACCTTTCCAGGAGAAAATGAAAATGCTTTTGTAGGGATGACGGTCAGATTGTGACTTACAGATATACCACTCAGCAATGTCTCGATTCCTGCTAAGATCTGAAAAAGTATTGGCAAACGAGGGGACATGGCGACAGAACCATTGTCCATACACGGGGCTGTCCAGTCACAGAGGCCCACTTGGTGGTCCTCCCACCACCATAGCCAGCCTTCTCCCAGCACCAACCTAAGGCTCACATCAGCAGTCTTCTCCGTACCAGCTCTTCATGACCAAAACACAAAACCCTGTGTCTGTGGAGGCTGGCATACAGATTGAAATTAGAGTTAAATCACAGACAGTGTATTAGCCAGCCTTGAGTATCACTCTGGATGGAGAAACACAGAATTGGCTAAATTAACATTTTTCTCTTTCTAAGTTGCTTTTTATTCCTCCACAGCTTCTATTTCATTTGGCAACACTCAGGTAACTGACTTATTAACCAGTCTCTCTGGAGACTGCTGGTCTTTCCAAGGAGACTGTTACAGGAAAGCTTATTCTGCCCAAACTTACTATTACTGGAACACCTCGAGAGACAACATTTATAAACTTCCTGTCACCCAATGTGCTGTTCAGAAGCCATTCATTTTAACTTAATTTGCAGGACTGAAAGTCTCCAGCTCACTTGCTATATAAAAAGTGACTTTTTTTTTAGTTATTACCCATTATCATTTTGCTTCCTGCCAATGGTATAAAGTTAAAGAGAATCACAGATTTGGAAAACCTTCATCTGTATTTAAACAATGAGCTCCAAGATAGTTCTTACCTGGAAGGCAACTTTCTACCCCTGAAAAATCTAATAAAAATATCAATATAACAAGATACTACCTTTCTGAGGATGCTGATAATAGTGATGTACTCTTGTAGCATCAATGAATACTTCATGAAAATCTTTGAAAAATACGGTTTGAGGGTCCTTTTTCTGCTACAAAATCTTCAACTGTTTCTTCCAGTATTTATCTGAGCTTATTTATGTCCAGGAACATAAAATGTTTACCTCAATGAAATTCTCTAACTGCTTATATAAGAAATCATGTACCAATTTATGATATAGTAAGGCATAAACTAGTCAATTCACATACCCTTCAATTAGTAGAGGTCACCAATTTACAAAATAATACAATTAATATAATTAAGATCCCTGAAGAATGTAACCTAGATTCCTTAAAAAAAAAATTGACGATCTGGACAACCTTGGCCCTGGGTGTATCAGGTTTGAGGTCATTGCCACTCACCTGGAATGAGAAGCAATAAATAATGTGGTAGGATAGTTTTTGAGCTTTGAATTAAAGACTGAGAAGTCACTATCCACTGAACTATACAGATGAGTTAGAACCATATATTTGGAATGAGATACAGGATTCTTTTCCACTAACTTGGAACCACTAAACCAGTCCTCGTTAGACAGCTACACGGAATCTCATCATTTGGATATCTACACTGTGTTCATGCTATAGTTCCCCTGAAACTATTTTTGGCAATATTACCAATGACCTCACTGTTACAAAATCTATCCACTGGACACTTTTGAAGTCCTCACCTTAATTAACTTCTACCTTTTCTTCTTTTATCCTCTTTTATTGGGCTGCATTTATGAGATTTCCTCAAATTTTTCTCCCAATCACACTAGGAAAGACGTTGTATTTTGGGGAATCATCTCTCTAATTTCCAAGTGTTCATCTTTTTCTTCATATTTTTCATTTTCAGAGAACCATGTTCCCCTTTTATGGAGGTAACAGGGTCCTTAAATCTCTCTGAGGACAGTTGAGTTGTCATAGTTATTGTTTTTAAATTAGCTTTAGTTCACTGAATTCTCTGTTTCTTCAGGGGTCAGTTTTTTTATGGTTATCTTTTAGTTTCTCTTCCATGTTGGAAACTTTTAAAATATAAGGCTAAGGACAGAATTTCCTGGCTCACATGCTTCCCTTTATGATGGCTAAAGATGTGAGAGCAACTTTATTTATGTGACATTTAAATGACAGCAAGTGAAGGGCTTTACTCCAGAGTGATGATAACCCACACTAAAAGCACAACTTTTCACAAGATATTTGTTCAACTTATTTAGAAAAGACCTGTCTGGGGTTTGTTTTACTGTAGTTGATGTTCTGCCCAGAAGCAACTAGTTGTTTGCTAAGTCTTCTCAGGGAGAACCTAGAATATGTGTCCTTATTTGAAAAGATCTTTAAATATAAACCTTTAATGAATGCTCTGCTTTGTATATGATCATTCTTACACTCTTAGTTATCTACTACCACTGAGCTTGGGATCTAGATTCTTTTTTGAAATATTCTAGGTAAGACGGCCCATTCATCAGCTGCAATCTCTTCTGCAAATACTATGGCTGGAGTTTCTCTCACCCTGCTCTAGCAATGTTCAATTTACTTTCTAGAAGTAGGAACAGTACATCTGTCATTTCTCCCTATGTAAGTTGAGGATATCAACATTGTCTCTCCACAAACTATTCATACTTGTCAGCTTCTGTTAATACAATATGAAATCTGAAATCCACATAATTATTGTGAAGTGTCATGTAATGTGTATTTTCTCAGCCCAGAGATCATCAACTGACATATCTTGAATAATTATCTAGGAATCATATATATGTGATAGTCTTTCTGAATCTTTAAATATTTGAGAAGGCTTTTCCATTACTTTCACACATTCATAAAAACTTAGATAATATTTTGGTCAAATGTCTTTTTCTCATAATTCTATTATTATCTAGTGTTTCATTGTATAGAGTTTACCCAATCTGGTATTTAATATTACAGAGTTGACATCCCAATTCAGCTTGCTTTTGTTCCTCTGCACAAAAACTTTTGGGGATTTAAGGTTTTCCACCAATGTTTTTATTGTCTATAAGGGTCAAAAATTTTTGTTAGAAAATGTCTGAAAATAAGTCTTACTTTGCTACTTCTTTGGAAATTATTGAATGCTATCAAATGCTGGCTGAATCTTTCTTCCATTTGGGAGTTTCCTTCTTTATATCTTCTATTACTGCTTCAATACCATTTGTGCTGGTTTTATTGTCAGTAGCCCCTGAAACTCATGGCTTCATAATCTATTCTCTTTCATATTGATCAGCTTTGCTATTATCATGTCCATTTCTTTGATAATTTCCTCTGCATTTCTAAAGGAATCTCCGAACTTTCTCTTTAAGGTAACTGACAGTTTTTTGTAGTCTCAGCTGTATTCATTTTTTCCTTCCAAAACATTTCAAAAATAATCTTTTGTTTCTTTTAACATGTCATTTTTCAAGTCTCCTCATGTCTTGTCCCTCTCTGTCCTTCCATCTGATTGGAGGTGACACGATGCACCTACCATTACAGCAGTGGTGTCTTCACAGCACCACTGAAGACAGGCCTGGGCAAGTGACAAACCACAGGGCTTCAAGAATGAGGATCTTTTGGGCCTCCCTGGTGGTGCAAGGGTTAAGATGCAACCTATAAAGCAATCCGCAGCCTCTGCAGCACAAGTTCGATTCCCGGCCAGCCAAGGAGCAACCCACATGGTGCAGCAGACCTCTCCTGACTCACCTGCTGCTCCCCTCAGCAGTGTACTTTGGTCAATCTGCCTGTTCTGTTCCCCACTCTGTCTCTGGTGAATCCTCTCACTGCCTGCCCCCCATGCCTCTGGCCTGTACCTCAGCTCTTGTATGCATAAATAAATAAGTCTTTAAAAAAAAAAGAATGAGGAGCTTTCATACATCAACACATCCCAACATTGTGAGGATGTCATTTCTATTAATTAAAAAATTCAAGGCACTTAACTGAATCATGTGTTTGCACCCTAAGGACATACATGTTGTCATACTAGGGCATCTGCAGAGCAAGCAGCTAAGCACTG